TAATATCCTATTAGAGAATCAGAAAATATGAATGGATCAAATTACAAAAATAAATATACCCCTACATGGCTGGTAGTATGTGGAATTTCAATGTCTCAAGAGGCTGTAGAGCCAAGTATCATAAATGGATTCTGAAAAGAATTGGATAATTTCATGACTGGTAATATTAAAGTTTCTTTTTAAAAACTAGGTGTAATCAAATCTGCTACCACCAACTGATGGGGTCAGGCAGAATTTCTTTCTTCTACACTGAGCACTGCACAAGTAGACAAAAGCCATTTACAGTGTTGTTATGGTTTTACTATTCTTATTTCCTCTATCAAGCCCTAGGGAAGGTTTCTTCAATAATTAACCATGGATTTAAATAAATATTTGGAGAGTGGGGAGAAGGAAAGACTTCTGTAGTTAGTCAAAATATTATATGTGAGAATGAAGTTAGCACAATAGAAAGGTTTGTAAAGGGAAAACCATGAGGGGAGATACATATTTCAGAGAGGAAAGGAAAAAAGGAAAGAGAATCAGGAATAAAATCTGTGTACTTTATGAGTAGAAGGTAAACATTTCTTCTATTGTGAAGTGAAGTTTATCCTATCTTTGATTCTCTAGTTTTATATTCTCTCTTAAATATTATGTTTTTTAGAAGATGCCCGTATTAGTCTGCTAAGGCCATAACAAAATACCACAGACTAGGTGGCTTCAAGAACAGAAATTCGTTTCCTCACAGTTCTGCCGGCTAAAAGTCCAAGATCAAGGCTCTGGCAGGGTTGGTTTCTCCTGAGGTCTCTGTCCTTGACTTACAGATGGCCGCATTCTCACTGGTTCTCACGTGGCCTTTACTCTGTGAGGCGGTGCTTGGTATCTCTTCCTTTTCTTTGAAGGATACCAGTTCTATTGGATTAGGGCCCCACCCTCTGACATCACTGAACTCTAATTACCTCTTTAAAGGCCCTATCTCCAAATACAATCACGTGTGGGTTAGGACTTCAACCTGAATTTTGGGGGAAGACAGTTAAGTCCATAACAATGTTCCTCCAAAATAATAAATATGATTTGTGATCAAGGATAGTAATATTTTATTAGAATCATTTTATTTACTTCAGTCTCTTCTTAAAACACTGTGGAAGACTCCTAGCTGTAGAATGCCTGAAATAATTCAGAATATCATTTTTGATAGCATATTATGAAAAACATGGAACGTGGACTCAGGGGACACTGATTTACTTACAACATGTATTATTATGATTCACTTACCGTTTGATTCACTTACCATTTCCCTCTAGTTATCTTTCCCATATGTTTGCTCGTTTGTAAAATTAGGAATTCATAGTTACAATTACTGGGCACATCTTTTAGTCAGAATTCAAGGAGATAATAGAGATAAAGAAAAACATTGCAAAATGCAAAGCACTATACAAGTGTTGGTTATTTTTACTGTTTTCCATGGATATACTGCACAAACTATAACTTGTAGTAACAGTCACAATAATATTCATTCTTTTCAAAGCAGTCTGAAGGAAAAATGAATTAAATAAATAAACCAAAATATAAGAATGAAACAAGCCATGGGCAATAAATTTCAGGGGACAGGAAAATTGAAATTTTCTTTTGGAAATAAGGTTAATTATGAGGAGAAAATGTTAATATGGAGTTTTGTTTAGTTACTTTTATGAAAATATTAATCTACGTAAGCACAAGAGCACAATACTGACAGCAAATTATAAGGTATCATAATAAGGTAAATTACTCAATTTTGATAAAGGGTTACATGTATATAGTCACTCAAACTTATTTTCTGTTACACCATAACCTTTCTCTGATATACAACCACAACCACACTTAATAACATCAGGTTTTATTAACTAGCTGTATCATCAGATAAGACTCAATAACGAGCTACACTAGAAAAGTGTCATATTGCCTCTCGCTTACTGAAAGATACAGTAAGACCGTTCAGCACCTGACATGGGCTGGAACTTGGCCTATCAAAGTGTATTGCTACGATTCTTCAGTGAATCTAGGTCTTTTTTCGCAGTACCTAGTAATAAGACAGGTTCTGTCTCGGGCACTGGTGACAACATGTATATCACTAGTACTTATTTTGCTAAAAGCTGGCCTTGAGCGGAGCCCTTGGGAGTCTTACATAGCAGTAAAGGGAAGGGCAGGGATGGGGGATTAGGGACAGCTTTTAAATTTGACTTTTATTGTGCTTAAAGTCAAATGGAATAATATGTCACTGCTTGTAGACATCTCTCTGAGGCAAATTTCCAAGAAAATCAGTTCTATCCTGATCCTTAATGTTAGCATGTCTATATTAAACTAAGTCCTTGCAATGTATTTCATAACAAATCAAACTTTAAAAAAAATCTCTTTTATCAGTGTTATTGCTTCACAAGAGTATATTCAATTTAAATCTGAATGTTCTGAGATGAGGTCATTTAGGGGAAGAGGAGGCTTCATATTCTCCCTGCTTATTTTGTCTTTGAATGGTCTGCTGGTTTTCTTAATGATAGGATAAGATGCATTTATAAAATGACTTTGCAGCCTCCCAACTGTAGGGACTCTTAGCTACCCCGTTTGCTATTTCCCTCTAGTTATCCTTTCCCTTCTTTTGTGCTATTTCACAAATGAACCCTCCCCTGCTTCCTGACCTATCCGTGATGTTCATGTGTCTTGACTGAGAGCTTATTTACTCTTGATCGGACACAGGCTAAAAGCTGAGGAGATAATCTTGAACAAAACACGTGTTAGTATATAACCCCATCTTGGTACACTTGAAAAGGCTCCTTGATAGAGATGGCATCCAAGCCAAGCCCCAAAGGATAAATAGGAATTAGCCAGGTGGAAATGGGGGCAGGAACACTGCAGCATGTGTAAAAGCCCTGAGGCAGAAAGAACAGGATGCGGTTGGGAAATTACTGGTAATTTTGTATGGTTTAAGAGTAGAGTTAAAAGATGAAGAGGCATTATAAATAACTGGAGAAATAAACTCATGAAGGGCTTTAGGTATGAAGAAAAGGAGTCCAGCCTTTGTTTGGAGGACAGATAGAACTGTTTAAGGATTTTAATCTGGGAGAGATATATTCCAATTTATACTCTATGAGATGCCTCTGGCAAAAGGTATAGAATTGTTTGAATAGGATGATTTTAGAGAAAAATAAAGAACATTGATTTCCATTACATGGTGCTATTGTTAAATACATTTTGATGTGATACTATAGTCTTTACAAATCTGAAATCTAGATCATTTAAATAGAGCAAATGATACATATATTAAATCAATGCTAAAAGACAAATCTATTCAGAATGGCAAGTCCAGACTCATAGCAAGCAAAAATCTTGCGATAGTGTGTCATTGCTCCTTGTATATGATTTGTGTGACAGAGACAGTGAATCTTCTCACTGCATATCGGATTATATACATAGATATCAAAATACCAGTATTGCCATTTTGTTCTGGTCTTACTTTCATTAGGGAAACAGTTACAAGGCTGCTGTATTCATCCATTGATGATGGTGGGGTGAACATAGATAGTGGTGATTGGGGAGGAGAAAAATGAAGAAATGAGACAGAATTGACAAGACTTGGCAGTTTGGGGGATCTGGGGCCTATGGAAGAAGAAGGGGAAAAAAAGATACTCTGCCTTCTTGTATGAACGTTGAGTAAATGTAATCATAAACCTTACCATTCACATAGAGAGGGAACACAGAGAAAGGGGAGGAAAGCTGAGAAGAGGGAGAAAAAACAGAAGACCAAAAGCAAGAGGACAAATAGCAAATAGCATCACTTTAGAAAATGCTACAACTTCAATGATTAAATGTCCAGAAAGTTCATAATCCCTTCCCCTGGCCACCTCTATCCTGTTTTTGGAGCCTGTATATACACCAAATACACTGTGATGAGTTTGGCATCTCTTCGGGGCAGCAGAGTCAAGTTGATCACGTATTAAAGAAAGCAGACAATGAATGACAAACAGCTGGAGACTCATCACAGGACTCCCTGTAGTTCCCTAAACCTGAGCTACTTTGAATCTGATGACAGCCAATCCCCTACAGTTTATTGCGAGTAAGTGAGGTCAAGAGTAGTTTCTAATCTTACAGTTAGGAAGGCAGAGTATATGTGGAGATCTGGTGTACTCTTGGATTCCTATGATGGGAATATGAATATATTTTCCCAGAAAGTTAATTCTCTCCAGTGATTATTTCCATAGTGTTGTTAGAACATTCCCTTGGAAATATTATAGGTTTAATAACCTGTTAATATCTGGTCAAGGAACCAAACCAGTTTTATTTGGAACTTGGAATATATTTCCCATCGCCATTTGTTCTGGTTTTAGATTTTTAAAAATCTAGCTAGAAAATAATTTATGGGCACAACTAATTGAAAACTACTTATATTTTACCCCTGTAAATGTCAAGTTTGAAAGTTTTGTTAAGATGAGTTAGTTCTAAGAGCATCAGGGTAGATTTCCAGGCTATTCTAATTTGTGTTAAGGAGACTATACTCAGAATTGCTTTTTACTTTTTAGCTCATGAGCACTTTAATCTCTGATCTCTCTCTCTCTTTATTTTTGTTTTGTTTTACCTTTCCCCAGTTTGCACCATCTTCAGAAACTCATGTGATACTTAATGGGAAAAGAATGCTGTATATGGCTCTTCCTTTTCTATGCCAAGTTTGAAAATTCTAAGGAGAGGGCTCTAAATTTTAATCCTCTAGTTGTCAAAAAGGCCTGAGGCATTAAAAAGCTTCCTGAAGGGCTGATTGTACTGTAATTTTTTTTCTGTGACTTGAATCACGAAGAATCATAAACAAGCCTATGTTTGGCATTGGTCAAATGGCTCTTTTGGTACTCAAGTGGCACTCTGACACTTTCGTATTGGCTTATTTTCCCCATGTTTAAGGTTTTTTGAGTTAAGTACAAGTGGTTTCTAAAGTATTAGGACATCGTGAGGTCCTACTGAGAATCAGCAATGTGGGTGTTTTCTTTTGAATTTTATTCCAGAAATCTCTACCGCAGGACCTCTTGGCATGGGAAGCACCACCACCAGTACCACCCTGAGGACCACAACTTGGAGCCAGGGCAGGAGTACCACCCCATCAGTGTCAGGAAGAAGAAACCGGAGTACCAGCACCCCATCTCCAGCTGTCGAGGTGCTTGACGACATTACCACACACCTTCCATCAGCATCGTCCCAAATCCCAGCTCAGGAAGAGAGCTGTGAGGCTGTGGAAGCCCGAGAAATCATGTGGTTTAAGACCCGTCAAGGACAGGTGGCAAAGCAGCCGTGCCCTGCAGGAACTATAGGTAAGTCTGTCCTACAGAGCTAAGCTAGAGGTGTGTTACTTTGGCTTGCTTTTGTAGCATGTGTTTCTTTTCTTTCATCACTACATATTTTTGTTTCTTCACTTTGGTTAAATTCTGAACTCTGCTAAATTCCCATTTAAAGCAACGTAGTTTCAGAGTTTGAAAATGCAGTCTGAATAAGTCACAGGTGAGAATTTGGTGGGAATACATGTGAGATCAGTAGTTTTCAGCCAAAGGTGAGGTCTCTGGGTTGAGTTACAGTTCAGCTCTGGATGGCCCGGCTGCTACAGAGAGGCAGCTCTTCCATGCAGCAGCCCAGAGAACTCACTGGATCAACAGGGGCTGGTTCTCTTGCTTGTCACCAACTGCCAAATATTGATTGCAGAAAATTAGGATGAGGACTTCTATGTTGAAAATGATCATTGAAACTACCTAAAATTTAACAAAAGAGAAAGTTTGTCCTTCTTGCCAGTTTTTTTTTTTACTGATATAATTCATAATATCCCCAAATAGTAACCATATTATTCCCTGCAATTTTTAAGCCAGAAATAGTCTGCTTTTCTTTGTTACATAGATTTATCTTCGTAAATCTAATACTTGATACACTGAATAAAATTTACATCATTCCATAGAATATGGAAATAAAACAAATTAAACAATAGATGACACAATACTGTCATTAAGGACGTGTCTTCAGGTGAAATTGATTTGGTTACTTTAAACAGGTTTGTCTTAGAAAAGAAATGCATATATCACTATGAATTCCATGGTATTTGAAGTGGCATGAAGACTAGAAAGTATATTGGTTTTTATAAAAGTGCACATTTAATGTTTTTTGTCAGCAAAGTGTTTAAAAATATTCTGAAATCTTCCTTCCCTGTACGAAGTGGGGCAATGTTTAGTTCTAAAGTTTTCTGTGGTAATGGAATCAGAAAACAGTTTGAAACCTTCTCTCTTAGCACTGTCCCCTTAGTTAGTTATGGGCCTCAGTTTCTTCAGCTCTAAAAGAGAAATAACAACAGCCCCCCCTACTTCAGATGTTTGTTCTGAAGGTTAGTGAAAAGACTTGATTTGAAAGCACTTTGCGAACTACCAAACACTGCAGAAGTACGTTGTTATTGTTCAGTGAATATGGGGAAAGCAATTTAAAGGAAACCTTCTGAAGCCCTCCCAGGTGACTGTCCATCTCCTGTAGTCTTATGTGTACCCTTTCTCTGCCCCCTCTGCTGCACCCCTGTTCAGGCCCACACGGTCTCTCACTTGAATTATTGGAATAGCTTCCTCACAACCTCCCCTTCACTCCTTCAAATTCATCCTCCATGCTACTGTAACAGCTGTCTTAGACCTAAATCAGCTCATTACTCTCCTCTGCTTAATGTTCTTCACTGATTTTCTAGCATCCACACATGATAGATAAGGGAATTTATGATCTGGTGTTGCCTACCTTTCCAACTCCGTTAACTAAAGCTCCGCTATCCAGTAGACCTCAGTTCAAAACAGTTGAAGTTTCCCAAAGAGAGCATATTGTTCCTCCACCTGGAACGTCTTTTCCCACTTTCCTGAAAAACTTGCAAACAAATTCTTTTAAGACTCAAGTGCTACCTTGCCTCTGAAAACTCAAGTAATAAGCCCCATGGAGGCAGGTATCACATCCATCTGATTCATTAAATTATTCCCTGTACCTAGCATAGTTGCCAGCAAGCACTTTAAAAATATTGAATGTTTTTGGTTTTGGGATTATATTTCACTGAAGCCAGTTGCTTGCCAGGCATCGTACATGGCGTTTTAATCAGCATTAACTTAGTTTAATGATCTCATTTTTACCTTTGCTCATATTTAAACATACCATGGATATAAAGTCATTGTAAGAACAATGGTTTGAATATTTGAAGCAGACCTATTTCTCTCATTATTTTAGGAGTATCAACTTATCTATGCCTGGCTCCTGATGGAATCTGGGATCCCCAAGGACCAGATCTTAGCAACTGTTCTTCTCCTTGGGTCAACCACATAACACAGAAGGTAAATCATGTGACTGACAAGAAATGCTTCGTCAAACCTACATCCTCTGTTGTTGATTATAACTGCTGCAAACAAAACAGTCAAAATTTTTTTAAAAATTAGTGTGGAAAAATTCTCCCAGTATAATTTAATTTCAGATTTAATGACAACCTCTGATATACTATGAGCTAATTCTGGAATTTTGTTGTTCTTATAGGGCAAATCCATGAACTTCCTCTAAGCCAGACTATATTGCTTATAACAATTTTATTATTAATAAAATTTTTATGGTATTGTGAACTACAAATATGAAAGTCCAAGAGGTATTATAAATCCAGCAAGCAAAAGCTTCTGGTATACGTACACATGGATTTTCCTATGGAAATAATAATTACAGAAAAAAAGTCTACCTCTGGAATTTTAAGGCATTTAATAAATGTTCTGTAACGTAATCACTTATCAGTGTTAAAAGTATACACATGTGTGACAGAATCTTGCAGACTCAAATTTGCAGGGCTTATTTGGTTGCAATATGTTGAACATTTTTATTATTAATGCACTGTGGGGCTTTGAATTGATTTCATTACAAACAGAGACCAGATGTGCATTTATGCCAAAAGGGCTATGGGATGAATCCTTATTATAGCAATTTGTGTGGATTTATGCACTCCTAAAATGAAGAGTCCTTCTATGGCACATTAGCTATGCTGAGGAATTTCTGAAAGAGATTTTTCCTGAGAAATATTACAAATGATGGCCTTACTAAAAGCCTGTCTGTGCCATTTGCTCTTTTCTCTATTTGTTTTTAACCAGGCTGATCCTCAATAATATACTGTATAATAATCCATAAATATCTACCCAGTAGATCATTTAGCAGATGAGCCGTAACTATCTATTTACCCTAAATCATGGAAGAACAGTGGTTATATTGACTCTAGTTACCCTCTTACATATGCATCCCCATACTTGTTGCTATTCATAATGATGCTTCTCCAATTTCAGCACTGTTCCTGCTGCAGTTTTTATGTCCTTTGATTTTATTACAGTGTAGCTCAGACCCCAGGGCAAATAACTCTTGCTGGATGTGATCAGATTAAGAGATCAGTAGCATATCTCCTTACATTAGCAACTTTTAAGAAATACTCCCTGCATACTTAGCCCAGGGGTTAATATTAATTCAGTAATAATTCACCTAGAAAGCTGCGTATTTTCATAATTCATGAATATAGTTGGACTATTTCATTGCAGAAATTACTGGGTGACTTTAACTGATAATGATGCTTAATTCTTTTCTTCCCTCTGCAGACCTGCTAATCTTATGACAAAAGAGATAATTCTTTGCAAAGACCAGACAGCTGTTGCCCATTTGATTTATGGATGGGGTGTTTTTGTTTTAGAAGAAATATGTTTCATTCTTCCAGAGCATTTCTGTTTAATCCTGTAGAGTCTGTAAAATTGTATTATAATTATGTTAAGGTTATAGAATTTAGGCAATTGGAATGTGTAATAATACCTTAGCTTGATTACTCATAAATTTATAAAATCTTCAAAAGTAGAACAGGAGGCTTTGGAGCACTCTGAATCGGCTTATGCAGCTAACCCAAGGTCAGTGTTGGAGCTGAGGTTTTGGCCAGGTCTACCTTTATCAAGATATCATGCTTAGCCACAACACTGGTTAAACTATGGATGGATTATGATTGCCTTTATCTCACACACCCACTTACCTAGTCGCTCTTCACTTCTGTTCACCCTTTTACCTGGTGTGTGCCTTTTACCTCCAAATATTTATACTACTCATTGAATATAAATGGTAGTTGAACAGGTTTCTTTACCACAACACTCCAACATTTTAAGTATTTACATTGTAGACCTCCAAGAGAAAATTTGTGTAGAGTGTTTGCAGAGTTATTTGTCCATATTTTCTCCCCCTCCTCCCCAAAATGTCTTCTACAGAATTTATACCTTTGCTCGTTTCTTCCCTCAGTTCCAGATCCCAACAGCAATTAGATGGGACATTCGAAGAGGGTTTGTTTAGAGTGGTATTAGGGGAGCAAAGGTGAACTGCAAGGGATTAAGCAGGAACCCAGAGCTAGTAACAGGGATTGGAGCTATTCCCAACCCCAGACCTGTGGTTGCTGGATCAAAGGAGTGGCTACATTTAGAACCAGGGTGTCCTGGAGAGGAAAGATGACTTATAGATGAGAGACACAGCCTAGCCTGAGAAGACTTATCGGAAAGAGAGCTAGGGTGATAAATATCCTGACCTCACTCTCCATCCTTCCTCGTTCACCTCTCCAGCCCCCCCATTGGCCAAACCCAAATGGAAGCCAGAGAAGAGGGGCTCTCTTAATGACAGCCATGTAAGTCCACCTTCTGGGGCAGAGAGCAGGATGGAGATAGATGGAAAGGGACCTTGAACTAGCAAATGGAAAATACCCAGCATAGTTCTCAGCTTTTGGCTCTCTTCCTCCCACTCCTCCTCTCTTTCCTATCTCCTTCTCTGCCTTTCTTCCTCTCCCCTGCCTTTCTTTCCCTTGTCTAATCCCACTCTCCTCTGCTCCCACCTTCCCATTTTTCTCTAACGGATTATTTTATGCCATGTTGAAAAACTAAAGTGAAATAGGTATCTTTAAAGATTCATTCCTTCCCTCCTCCCCCCATTGTAGTTCTGTGAACTTCAGACTTTTAAAGTAAAGGAACACTTTTTAACCCCAATGAAAGCTTACGTGAAAAAACAACATACATATGCCAAAAGATAGGTGATTCTTTCACTTAAATAGTGTATTCAGTTTCCCCTCCCCAGGAGTTTGTGGGTGAATGTACCCTGGAGTGTGAGGTACCTCCTTTATGGCTTTACAATGCCTCTGGGGAATTCCTGCAGGTTTTAAAGGAAAGAAGATGTCTGGAGCACAGTCTCCCCATCTATACAAAGGGGAGGATCATTCATTTCATTATCAATAGTATTCACTCACTGTATGTCAGGCACCATTATAGACAGCAAGTATACACAAATAAAGGAATTAGGATGTTTACTTTAGTTGGAAAAGGCAAACTTTATATTTTCATTTTCTTTAAGAAGTGAGTTATGTTTATTCCCCTGTAGTCAGGCCAGGAGGGAGAAAACAGACAAACAATTTTGAGGATTTCTGACTCACAAATGAATTCAGGCCATTTGTATACTGGTGAAATTACAGATTAAATTCTGTGCAATAATAGCACATGGACATTTCGCTAGAGAATATGTGCGCCTTCAAAGTCAGAATATCACAAAAAAGTTTGTCACAAAATAACCAGAATACTCTCGTAATGATGAGATTTAATAGAAGCGTAATTTGTACAGCAAGGGAAAAGCAAAAGGTGCACACAAGGGGACCTTTACCCCAGCAACAATAGAAGGGAAGGAGGGGAGGGTGAGAGAAAGAGAGTGATTGGCAGGTGGATGGATGGATGGATAGATAGATGGATGGATGGATGGAAGAAAAGGTAGGTACCAAGATAAATAGATGGATGGATAGAAAGGTAGATGGATAGATATTTTTTGTTGTTTGTGCCATCGAGTCAACTCCCACTCCTAGAGAGCCTGTGGACAGCAGAGCAGAACCCTGCCCACTCTTTTTGCACCATCCTCTCCCATTCAGGCACCATATCAGACAATGTTCCACTGCTCTTCATAGGGTTTTCATGGCCAATTTTTTTAGAAGTGGGTGGCCAGTCTTCTAGTCTGTCTGAGACTGAAAGCTCCACAGAAACCTGTCCATGATGGGTGACCCTGCTGGTATTTGAAAACTGGTGGCAGAGCTTTCAGCAGCACAGCAACACGCAACTTTGCTGGTGACACAGTATGACATCCGACAGACAGGTGGTGTAGTTCCCTAACTGGGAAACGAACTCAGGGCTTGGCGGTGAGAATGCTGAATCTTAACCACTAGACCACCAGGGCTGGCTATAAATAGATATATCTGTCTTCAAATTAATGTTTTAAAAATATTTCCAGGGGCCAGCCCAGTGAAATAGTAGTTAAGTTCGTGTGCTCTGATTCAGCAGCTCGGGGTTTGCAGGTTCAGATCTCTGGCGCAGACCTAGCACCGCTTATCAAGCCACACTGTGAGCACATCACACATAAAATAGAGGAAGACTGGCACAGATGTTAGCTCAGTGACAATTTTCCTCAAGCGAAAAGAGGAAGATTGGCAACAGATGTTAGCTCAGGGCCAATCTTCCTCACAAAAAATAAATAAACAAAAATAAAAATTTCCAAGTTTTGTTGAAAGCCACAAAATTAGTAATACAGAGCTCTGCCTCCTCAAACATACTTAGCAAAATATCCTATTTTCTTATCTTTCTTAATATCTGCTTACTAAAATCATAGTCTCTGGCTTCAGCTTGATCTCTTTCTTAGACTCACATTTTCAAAACAAATTTCTATTTTGCATACCTTTAAAGAGTTTATTGTACTTTTTGATCCCTCCAGTCTTTTTCAATTTAAAATTCTGTGAAAATAGTTTTGAACAGCTTCTATATTTATTTATATGTAAAGTGAGGTCTGCTTCCTACTTCATTACTTGGTCCAACCACTATATGGAAAAGAAATGCCTGAATTGTCACCGGGAAATAATCTTTCTATTTCTAGCAAACCGAAGTGTCTTTTTCGTTTGTACACAAGCTATTGACAGATTTTGAGATAAGTAAGTCCTTCCTGCATTTTCTAAAGAAAGATGTGACGATCTAGATACATTGTTGCTATTTTACACTATAAAATAAGTCAGTTATTTGCCCTGGAAGACTAGGTTGAGTCCTGTCACCTAGATTTTAATTTCTCCATTCTCTTATCACTGTAGATCTAATATGAAATGAAAGTAAATTGCCTCTTAGTTTTATCAGAGGTTGATGGGGTTTCCAAGACTTCAGGCTTGTTTAACCCACTTTCAGTTGTAAGATAGAAGTATTTTATTGTTTGTATACCTACTTGACTGAAATTTGTAGCAAAATTGGGAGATCTTTTAAAGAAATGGTAGCTATAT